TGCTTTCGTTTCATCCGAACAAGATGAATACGAAAGCGAAAACTAGTTTCGGCGAAAAATTCCATTACGTATATATTTCTTTTTAAGTGGACTTGTTCATCCCGGTGAAGATATGACAAAAAGCGTGGTTCTAATGATGAGTTGAGTTTCAGACCTGGACTTGACGTTGACTGGTTTATTCGACAATAGTAAAGTACATTTCAAACCCTAATCAGCTATTTTTTGACTTATCAGAAAGTGCTGATTACAAATTAGGGCGATAGCAGTCTTTTGAATTATCCTCAAATATTTGGTCGTTAAAAAGACTCTAAAGAAATACTTTTTGACAATGATGACAAAATCAATCTAATATATTTAAGTGGCAAACGCAGAAAAGACGCTTCTAGACACTTTCGTCCTTCGCTTCTCGAACGAGAATTAAACGCGACTCACACATGTCTCAACCCGGTGAATATTTACCTAGGAAGAGAGACATCATAGATATTTTCACACAAGATAAAAACAAGCCCACTGTTATATTCTAACCAAAATAAGTATTCCTTTATTATTTTGTCATTTTTTTCTTCTTCCTGAAATCAAGTAAAGTCATGGCACAAAACTATTGGTTTATACCCCTTCGGACAATGTTTTACGAAGCTTTAGATTATTACGATCTTTCTGGATGGAGTATTGAGCCAATGCCAAACAATGTAGACACGAGTCGAGAAGCATTAATTCAGGGACAACGTAACTGGCCTTTTCGAACACATAACGCTAGAGCTAAGTAAGTATAGATTTAACTCTCAATATTATTTATTTACTCTGAAAAAAATAGATTTAAGTGTCGCAGTTGCGGGAAAAAGTGGACATCATCTTACACAACCGTTATTTGGAGAGCTCGTTGGAGCACAGGCATTGTTCAAATTATTATAGAGAAGCAAGGCTGTCGAAGATGTAATACGAACTGTCAAGGGATCCTTACTGATGAAGATGAAATAGAATTTGCCTTAGACTGGATGTGTATCTGGATTTTGGATGTTTTCTACGGGATTCGAGACGAAGACACGCATAGTGGTGACGATGAACCAGACGATGATGAAGAGTCTAAAGGCCCACATGATTATCAACGTTGTGAAGCGGGAAGGAAACGTACATGTAGAAAATGTAATAAAATGAGAGGACGTCGTAATCCAAATGACACTTGATTGATTTCTATTCCTATATATTATAATCTGAACGGAATGAAACTAACGCCTTTTTTAATAAAAATATCACAGAAGATATTACTTTTGGGTGTGAGTGTGGGTGTGGGTGTCGGTGCGGGTGTGGGTATGGGTATGGGTGTGGGTGTCTGGGTACCATTCTTCTCTAGCAGAAAGCTACACCTACACCTACACCCACACCGACACCCGCACCCACCCACACCGACACCCGCATCCACCCACACCGACACCCGCACCCACCCACACCGACACCCGCATCCACCCACACCGACACCCGCATCCACCCACACCGACACCCGCATCCACCCACACCGACACCCGCACCCACCCACACCGACACCCACACCCACACCTCTACACCCACACCCAGGCGCCTCATCTATGCACGCTCACATTGCTAAATATAATTCTCTTTCTTATTTACAAGCAATCGTCTTCTGTTGTTTGTCTTTCATGTTTTACTGTTGTTATGTGAATCCTTTCAACAAAGAATATATAGATGAAAAGACTTCAACATGAAAGAAAAAGGAGGCGAAAAGAAATCGAAATGTTGCCATGTTGTGCAGCCTAGAAGAAAAATTATTGACAACCAACGCGCTCTTCTTACTCACACAACTCTCGAGTAATTCTGAAGAAACCATCTGTAAAATTCACTCAGTATGGTTGACTTTTACTATTTGATTTTGATGAATACTTTGTTAGAAGAATTTCTAAGATTGAATGGAGTATTGGAACAGTCATCGACAGAACTACATTGTCTGCAGCGATTATGAGATTTCGAACACAAAAACATGGGTAGAAGTTCACTGAACACTTTTTCATTGGATACTCGAAATAATTTCACTATCTGAATGTAGAGAGTCGGCTTGGATGAAGACCGCGGTTCTCGCAAAAAACAAACTATTACTTCAATCTTGCGAAAACAGAATATATAAAATTCATACAGATTATTAAGTTTTCTATCGGTAACAATTCTTATTTTCGTCTATCCAATAGAAAAGTCACCAACTACTAAAACCTTGGATTCTTCTGATTCTCAAGAATCCCCTATGGTTCTTTACAATTTCAAGGATTCTTAAATATTTGCAAGCATGCTCTACATTCTCCAGGACTCTATGGAATTCTCCACCAACGGTGTGAATACTGGGCGAGTACGGCTTTTCAATTATCCTCATCCACACTCACATCCACATTCACACATCTCTTCGACACCTTTCATAAACAGAAAGTCTATGTAATGTATATTGTTTTCTATTGCAGCACTAATGGATAATGACACTATGAGACGTCCTAATTCAACCACTGACTATGTTAAACAAGAAGCTGTACCTCCACCTGTGCAAGAAAGCAAGAGAAAGGAAATTTTATTTGGAGGGTCTGGGTGTGGGTGAGGGTGAGGGTGTGGGTGTGGGTGTGGGTGTGGGTGTGGGTGTGGGTGTGGGTGTGGGTGTGGGTGTGGGTGTGGGTGTGGGTGTGGGTGTGGGTGTGGGTNATATTTAGATGCCAGTCGATAGCTCAAGGTTGCGACGATGCAATTATCTTCGTATGCAATATAATTGCAGAATTCAGCATCATCTTCTGGTCGATCAAAGATGAATTCATCTTTTTAAAAAAATCGGATGATATTGAAACTGAATAAAGAAAACACATTAGAACCATTGATAAAAACAGGTTTTCCCATTATCAACGAGTTGAAATCCACCTGATGGAAGAAACAAAACGTTATAATCTTCATTTGACAGTTTTAAATCAGTCAAAACCCTACTCAACAACTTCTCTTGACATTTATAGGTTGTGTTATTATCAGTAGCGCAGGCGAAAATGCACGGATGTGGTTGTGAGTCTTGTTTTCTCTTCGCACACACCCGCATTGACACCGACACCGAGAAGGTAATCGTTTCTTTATGGATTGATGCGGTAATGTTCCGAAAATTAGAGTTTTTTATAGAACAGAGATCATTTTATGAACTATGCTAATATTTTCTCTATGCTTCGTTGATTGATTCATATAATTACATAAAAAATTTGGTTAAAAAGACATAAACTCTTTTACTGAGAGAATATGAATCCATTTCGAAATCTGGTTCGTGTTCTATGAAGCAGTTTTTGTCGACATCATTTGTGATCATCGTTCAGAAGAGTATCTGAGAATTATCATTGTTGATCAAATTAACTATTTCGAAAATTACTGTTGTGAAATGAAAATTTATTAATTTCAAATATCTTTGATACAAAACAGCATGAACATTTTTTTATGAGCAGAAAATCAATATTTGAAAAACTTCAATGGCATAAACTTTCTTCAGAAAATATGTATGACCAGTTCTCTGACTAGTGTTCAAAGCTTGATTCATAAAAGGCTTTCTTTAATTCATTCGAACTTATTGCATACGCTTTCCATTTTTTGGATTTATTCTCGTAAACACTTCCGTCCATGAAATGCCGAGTATGAACTCATTTCTTCGCTCTCCATAATAACACCTGTTTACCTTTGCTTTGCATCTTTTTCGCGAAAACTCCACCTTCTACACAACTTGTATCATACTCGACTGTAATCAGTAAGATTCTCTTCGGCAATGTGCTCGGATCCGCGAATATCGAACTTAATAGTGGATTTCGCATATCTGTAAGGGAAGGCAAGTGAGCTCGTCTACCTAGTGGAATCAAAAAGTTGGTTGCATCTGGACCTGGCGATGTCTTGTTTTCATGAGAAATCGTAAAATCTGTTCTCAGATAGAACGAGATCAGAGAAGAGATATGTGGAATGAGAGATGATATGATAATGGCCAGACTGCCACTAGTCAAGAGACTACCAATGAAAATTCTCGATCGATCAATATTGAGACCGAACTTTGGGGAAAAGAAAGTACTCGACACCAGCTTTGGCATCAAGAACAGCAGCTGGAAATGGATATTTAGATGCCAGTCGATAGCTCAAGGTTGCGACGATGCAATTATCTTCGTATGCAATATAATTGCAGAATTCAGCATCATCTTCTGGTCGATCAAAGATGAATTCATCTTTTTAAAAAAATCGGATGATATTGAAACTGAATAGAGAAAACCATACCTCCATGAATATCGATGTTCAAGGGATATGATGCTGCGTTAGTGAAATAGTTTGGACGTAGATAGATCAATGAATGAATTAAGTGATCGTCGATGTGAATATGTTCAATCAACGATAGCTTTGGTAAAAAGCTTCCGTGTTTGTGTTGTACATAGTAAAAACGAATAGACGAGATGAGACGAAGCAGAGTCATTTGTATGCGAATCCATAAATAAGAAAAAAAGTCTACAATCGATGGCATCAACGAAATTTTTTCTCTTGCAGAAAAAGAACTCTTTGTTTCATTTAGTTTGAACTGTTGTGATATTCTATCGTGTACGGCTATACGCTTCTAAAAATACTTTTTTTTGATAGAATCAACTCTTAATAAAGCAAAAGAACGAGATGACTTTCTCTCATACAGCAAGCGCAATATCAAAATTTGAAATGATGACTCATTAGGAAGATTACTAACTAGGACTAGTTATACATGCAGCTAACATTTTCATCTCTACAGAAGCGATGATAGAACGAACACATTACGCATGTGCGTACATACAAACACGCATGTATGCAGATAAAGAAGAGATAAGAAACGATAGAGGACGCATAATTCGACTTTTTCTCTTCTATAAAAAAATCTTACCTTGATGCCTAAAAGATAAAATAATGGACTGAAGAAAGAATACTGGAGTGCTATACAAAGATCGAAAGGAAACTGTTGAAAGTTTCATATGAAAAGAGATTATGTGAAGTGTAACTGCGGATGAGTGTTGGTGCCGATAGGTGTGAATCTCACGTTTCATGGAACCAACACCTACACCGTCCATATTTTAAGATTTTTTCAAGAACAAAACATCTATATCATTATTATGACATCAGCATATTGTCCTCTATAGATATTCAATAAAAGCGACATTTTTATCGCCTTATGGCTACAGACTATGTCAATAATTACTATTTATATCTCAATATTGATGTAAAGTATGACAGATAAATAAAAGGTCTCGATTCTCAATACTTGAAATAATTAGCCTTTAAAATGCAATGGTAAAGAAGGCAGATAGTCTTTTGCTTTTTTCATTTTTCTTCCACCACATAATACTGATATATTATATTCTATAAATAATTACATTTCTTAATTGGTTTTCTAACAATCAATTCTACATTAAATGAAAATCGAAAAGAAAATTTACTGTTTCTGTTCTTATATTCACTAGAAAATGAGGATCTGGGTGTGCATATGGAATTAGTGAGAACTGTCATACACCCTAATACATGCATATTCCAGATCGCTTCCAGACGTACTATCAATTCAATTAGACAATAATATGTTTTTTATTAATGTAATAGCTATAAATATAATTCGTAGAATAATTTTTTGCTACCTAGTTTTAATTATAGATCTTAATTATATATATGAACAGCTTGTGTTTACTTTGAACATATTCATATTTTAAAGATATATTCTAAGTCCTCAATGAATAATTTATTACTTTACTTCATCAGTGTCTGGTCTTGACTAGATTATGTTCTACAAAAGTTCAATTCATTAAGAAATTTTTATTTGAATTTATAAACAAACTGATCAATAATATGATTGCCTCTTTTCGTATTATATAATATTAAACTCAATTCATATAACAATTGAAATGTTGTGGCACAGTTTGGTTCAAATATGACAGTCGCATTGTTTAATATCTAATCAAACTATTCAGTTTTAAACAATAATTTTATATATTATTTCTAAAACTAAATGATTGAGTTAACCAGTATTATCCAATTGATTGTTCATAATTAATCATGATCAAATTTATTATTGAAAATTAAGAAGTTTAAAATGATTTTGGATGGGTAATCTATTACAAAGCAAACATAGATATGAGCGTGATCTGCTCTACTATTTATTCAATTTTATTTGACTTGTTTCGTC